TGCAGACTGGGCTATCAGCAGGGGGCAGGAATGCCATGGGAGTGATGGGAGCCCTGGCAGAGCCCAGCTACTGCCCCAGTGCCCAGTCCCTGATTTTCAAAAGGTGGAAGCTGGGCTCCACAGCATCTGTGGATCCCCCCTGTCCAACCCATGGATCCGTGTGCTGCTGGGGGCTGTGAAACCGGGCAGGGGTGAAGGGCAGGAGTGGCTCTGCTGGTGTCACCCCTGTGCTCTGCCCGCAGATCTGCTTCAAGTACTTCTGCCGCTCGTGCTGGCACTGGCAGCACTCCATGGAGGTCCTGCGCCACCACCGCCCGCTGATGCGCAACCAGAAGAACCGGGACTCCAGCTAAGGGCCCGCCGGGCACGGGGCTGGCACGGGCAGAGCCCGGGGAGAGCCTGCCAGAGGAGAGCGCAGCAGCGCCTGCCGGAGCCAGGCCCGGCTGGGAACGTTCTTCCTGAGGACTGATGGGGAAAACAAAACAAAAATCTTACATTCATGTTTGCACTTGCTGGTCTTTTTGTTTCTGCACTAATGCACAGTGAGTTTTGTTGGGGTTTGTTTGGGGGTGTTTTGAGGGGGGGAGTGCCCCTCAAGCCATTCTGCAGTTCCCAGACTTTCGGTTCCTGGTTTGCTGACAAGAAGCAAAAATTGCAAATGAATAAACCCAACCAACCAAGGGCCATGTGTCGCGGAGGCGTCGCCGCAGGCGCCCCCGCCCTGGTTTTTTCATTTTTTAAAGGCGCTTTTTTACATTCCTTGCAATACTGGTGGAGAGAGCGCAGGTCTCATTGGTCATTGTTTTGCCGTTGCCATACAGTGCCTTTCCATTCATTTACCCCCACCTGGATGGTGTGACCTGGGTGTTCAGCTGGCGTTTTTTACTGTAACAACAAGGAGACTTTGCTCTTCATTTAAACCAAATCATATTTCATATTTTACGCTCGAGGGTTTTTACGAGTTCCTTTTTACACTCTTAAAAACAGTTTTTAAGTCGTTTGAAATGAGAGATCTTTTTCTTTTCCTGGCAGCTTTTAACATTATTGCAATTTGTGTCTGGGGGCTGATGGCAGGACGTTGTAAATCCAGGGGTTTGCAACGGGACAGGCCGGGCTTTTTTTTTGTTTTTGGATTTGAAACTGGACGGGACGAGGATCTCTGAGCTGCTGTATATAGTTTTAAATAGTTTGTTGCACTTTTTTAAGTTGCACTTATGGGGGGTTGATAGAGGTTTTTAATCACACAAAGTCACAGGACTTACCTTTTCTTTTGTAACAAGCTAAAAAAGGGCTGCGTTTTGGTGGACGATGAAGGTTCCTGGGAGCCCTTTCTCTTAGAGGGGACAAGTAATTTTCCTTTCCTTCCCGAGATGTTTGGAGTATCAGTGCAGTCGACTGAAATGCTGCTGCTGGGATTTGAGACCTTAATTATGCTGATCATTATTATTTTGTTACTTTCCCCTCTATTGGAAGCTGTGTGCCAAAGAACCAGTGTCATAATTTCTCCCTCTTTACTATGATTATTTTTTTTTCTTTCCTGCTGAGCTGATGTTGCATTGTTGCATATCCCAGCTGCTCTTTGTGGGGTTTTGTGAAGCTGTGTGTGAAGTCTCTACCTCATTGTAGTATATGCAGGCAAGACTGCACTCTCCTACAGACGTGTGGAGTAAGCTGTGGTGTAGTTTTTGGCACATAATAAACACGTTGCAGCAAAAAAAAAAAAAATTTCTTGTGCCTTGTGTGCTTCATGGGAGATCGGAGGCTGTGGTGTCACTCCTGGAGGCGTGGGGAAGGGTATGGACGTGGCGTGGGGATGGATGGAGGTGAATTGTGGGTGGTGGTGGTGGGTGGCTGGGCTGGCAGGGAGCTCTCCCGTGCTGCCCAGGGCAGTTCTGGTCCCGCTTACCTGAGGGCCGCAGGCCCCGGGGCTGCAGCTGGAGCTCCCCTAATTGCAGCTGGAGGTTAATGAGGCTGATTGGCAGGGCCTGTGCTCTCCCACCGTGCCGGTGGAGGGGCTGTGAGGGGAGAGGGAGCCAGGGCTCCTCTGAGGGGCTGCGCAGGGCCGAGTTGCACTCAGGCTGCCGCCGAGGACGCTTGCTGTGCCCCGTGTCCCTTCCACGGCCCACAGCGGCCTTGTGGGCCCCGCTCCTCTGGGTGCTGCGAGTCTGCGGGTGCTGTGTGCTCTGCGGGCGGGGTGGGAGGTGCCGCTGGCCCCCCGGCTCCCTGCGGTTCCCTTCCCGGGTGCTCCGTCCTGCTCCGGGCCGCGGCGGAGCCTCCGCCCGGGCCCGCCGCCGCAGCCCTCCGAGCCGCCAGGGGGCGCGCTGCCCGCCCCTGGCTTCCGGCGCCTCCCGCCATCCTCCGCTCTTTTTCCGCGGCCGCCGCCGACATGGTGGGTCCGGGCCCCGCCATCCGCCGCCATCCTCGGGCGGGACCGCGCCCCCGCGGCGGGGAGCGGCAGCGGGGGACGGAGGGGACCGGGGCGAGGGGCAGTGGGGGGCGGCGGGGGCCGGGATGGCTGGGGAAAGGGGGGGACTGGGGCGGGGGGCGCGGAGCCTGGGCTCGGCGGAGCCTGACCGGCGGCCCTGCCGCCCGCCCCGCCTAGGGACGCGTTCGGACGAAGACGGTGAAGAAAGCGGCACGGGTGATCATCGAGAAGTACTACACGCGCCTGGGGAATGACTTCCACACCAACAAGCGCGTGTGCGAGGAGATCGCCATCATCCCCAGCAAGAAGCTGCGGAACAAGATTGCGGGGTGAGGCACTGCGGGCCCCGGGGGATCCCGGCCGGGCTTTGGGCACCGGGGAGTCCCGGGTGGGCTCTGGAGGTGTCCCGAGGGGTTTGGGCATGGGGAGGTCCCGGGGGATTCGCGCACGGCGTGGGGGTTCCTGCTGGGCCCTGCATTCGAAAGTGATTACGGTCCCGCCTGTGGCCGGGTCATTGATAGTGCAGGGAGAGGAGAGCGAGAGTTTTCCCGTGTTTGGGGGGGTCTGTGTCTCCCCCAGACCCTGTTGCTGTCGGACACTTTGTCTCGGATGTGCTCTGGGGTGGTGGGTGATGCCCGGCTCGGTGGTGGGGCATCGCCGGGGTGGATGGTGAGAGCTGTTCTCATCCTGCTGGGTTCCGGGATTTGCGGTGTGGGGAAGGGTGGCATGAACCCCAGGACACCCCCGTGTCCCCGCAGGTATGTCACCCACCTGATGAAGCGAATCCAGAGGGGCCCAGTCCGCGGCATCTCCATCAAACTGCAGGAGGAGGAGAGGGAGAGGAGGGACAACTACGTCCCGGAGGTGAGGCTCCAGCTTCCCTGTCACTCCATCCTGCCTCGCTGTGCCCCAAGTTTGTTTAAAACAACCCCTCAGCCAGGAGGGTTGGATCAAGGAGGAGGGTTTGGATCAAGGAGGCCGAGGTGGATCCCTCCAAAGCTGCCACCTGGCACAGGAAGGACAGCTGGCTTCTCGTGGTTTGGTTTTCCTAACTAAAAATTCAGGGGGAAAAGAATTTTATGGGAAGCAGGAGGTTATTTCAGAGCAGCTGAAAATCTGCCCTGCAGCTAGAATCCCAGAGGGAGGTTTTGGTAAAACCCCCCTTGCCTTAACCCTCTGTTTGGACAGGGTTGAGATCTCACGTGTCACCTGGGTGGGGTGGTCCAGGAGGGCTTCCCTTGTTCCAGGAGTGTGATTCCATAGCTCCTAAATCCTGGATCCTTCAGGCGCAGCACATCTTACCCTTTTCTCAGTCAGCTGCTGGTTTCTGTGCTGGTTACAGGGAGGGGACTCAAAGCAGGGAAGGAGTGTTGGTGTAGTGTCAGCACACAAACCTGTGCTGTTTGTGGTTTCCTACAAGAATCCTAGTGTTGCGTAGCTCTTGGGGAAGGAAGCCTGTGGAGGTAGAGTTTTTGGGGTCTGGAGGAAGTTGTGCTGGGATTAAAGAGCAGAGGAGCACAGGTGTCCTGCAGGTGGGACCGCCGTTGTGGGTACCTTGGTGGCCTTGTGTCACAGGGCAGCTGTGAGTGTCACTGATGGCTGCCAGGACTGGTGCAGTTGAGGGTACCATGCCAGCTCCTCAGCAGCCTTGGCCTGGAGCAGGTTGGGCCTCAGTTTCCAAAGATTTGCCATAAGTCAGGCTTTTCCCTGTACTGCCAGTGGCCTCTTGCAGTGTTCAGGAAAGCTGTGTTCCATCAGGATGCTCCTGGCTGTGCTGCTGGAACTGCTCCCCTCAGCAGCAGGATGAGAGCAGAGTGGCTGTGGGGACATTGGGGTTGTTGTGGGACTTTATCAATCACACCTTTTCTCTCCCCTCTCCCCAGGTCTCTGCCCTTGACCAGGAGATCATTGAAGTGGACCCAGACACCAAGGAAATGCTGAAGCTCCTGGTTAGTGGTCACAACTGTCCTTGTCCAGCTGCTGGCATATCCCTGGCACAGCTCCTGCTGCCCTGAGTGGCTGGATGGTGTCAAGGGCATCCCTGGGTCCTGTGGGAGGCTTAGTTCATGTATGGCTTTTGAAAGGGCATGGTGGCTTTGCCACCAGCAGGGTGAGGGTGTTCCTTGCCCTCCATTCTGATGATTCCCTCCCCAAGGAATCAATCTCTGGAGCAGGGTTGTCTCCCCTTCTTAGGAGACCTGCATCCACCCTTTGTGCTGCCACAGCACCTTCCTGGAGGAGCTTGCCTCCACTGTCAGTGGGCAGGATGCTGTGACTGATGCCATTGTTCCTGTGCTGTTTTCCAGGATTTTGGCAGCCTGTCCAACCTGCAGGTGACACAGCCTACAGTGGGAATGAACTTCAAGACGCCCCGAGGAGCGCTCTGAGCCTGTCCCTGTGTGTCGCTTTTCCAATAAACGTGAGGAAACCATCTCAGCCTGCCTGGTCCTTAGACACCCAAGGGATGAGGGAGGTGGGTTCGTGGGGTGCCACATTGGAGCACACAGGATTCAACACCTTCATGTGCACCAGCATCTTTTTGGGTTCTTTCCTGGCAGTTTGGGATGTGAGGTGTAAAGCTGTTGTTTTAGAGGCTCCTGCCTTTGGGGCAGTGGGAGAACAGCCATGGTGGCTCCTTGGAGCTTGTGGAACCTGTCCTAGGTTTTCCTGTGCTTCCTCCCAGTGGACAGTCTGGGGATCAGGCTGTACCATAATAAAAGGGGTTTTTTTCTACCCTATTGGTCACTTCCAAGTGCTTAAACGAAAGGGAAAAGTCTTAAAATTCCTTGATTAAATGAAAGTGAGGAGATCTTGGATTGTCACTCCAAGAAAAACTTGCTTAAATTAGTTAAAACACAGCTTAAACCACCCCCTCCCCCAAAATAAAAAGAAAATATTTCTGTTTTGGGGAAAAATGTCTGTATTTATGTTTGTTGTGAAATTTAGCTTTAGTAGTTACTTAAAGAAGCAAATACTGCTGTAACTGTAGCCAGTACTTAAATAACACATTGAACGCTCTGAGCTGCACTTGGATAATTTATAAATCATCTGGCAGCTCTTACAGTGAAGTTTTTGCTGCTGCAACCACCTGTTCCTCACCATTTCCTCTTCATTTTGGTCTTCTCACAGTAAATGCTGCACTTGCTTTGAACCCAGTACGCTGCATAGCCCGAGGTGCCAGGGATAAAATCGTGGAGTTCCCCCTCATATTTCTTCATGTCCCGTGCAGAGGCATAGCCTGTGGAGGGAAAATGGGCTCACTGAGTCCCTGCTCCATCTGCTCCATCTGCAGCCCTTTCCAGGTTTATTTACCTGTCACCATGTTATTTATTGGGTATTCCTGGAGGGCACGGTATGGAAATTCTCCCTGGGCAGGTGCTTCAGAGTCTGTTTCTTCACTGCTGTATCAGGAGGGAAAAAAAAAATATCTCTGTTTAGTTCCTGTGTGTTAGGATTGCTTGGAATCGGGAGTGCATCCAAATCCTCCACCCAAGGTAGGAAAATACCTCTCAGCCAGGTCTAGCACTTCCTCCTCTGATTCTTCCTCACAGTCATCTCTTGCTGCTTCTGGTTCCTCTGTTGGATTTTCGTTGGGCTGTGAATATCAGCACAAGAATGAGTTACAGTTGTGCCCTGGGTCACCTGCAGAGCACCTGGGAAACATTCCCAGTGCATGAATTTTTAGGGCTTATGATTTTAAGCATAATTCAGAGTTAAATTTTAAATTTAAGGGCATCCCTGCTTCAGAAGTTCTAGGAAGTTGCTTTGAGAGGAGAATGAGCAGTGACATGGGGAAGGAAAGCACCCACGGCAAAGGGCTGAGCTCAGCCTGTGGCAATTGGAATCCCTGGAACAGCACAGTGCTGACTAGATATGTCTAGGGCAAGGGAGACAGTCCTTCCAGTGCTGTCCCCCTCAGGATGTCATGCAAGGAGGGACACACAGCACAGCAAGCACAAGGAATCAGAATTTAGGTTGGAGAAGACCATCGTGTCCACCCAGTGACCCATCACCACCTTCCCAACCAGAGCAGGGCACTTGAGTGCCACATCCAGTCATTCTGGGCAGCCCATTCCAGTGCCTCATCACCCCTTCTGGGAAGAAATTATTTCTGATGTGCAACATAAACCTCTCCCGGTACAGCTTAAGGCAGTGTCCTCTCATCCTGTCCCTGGGAGCAGTGCCTGACTCCCACCCAGCTGTCCCCTCCTGTCAGGGAGTTGTGCAGAGTCAGAAGGTCTCCTCTGAGCCTCCTTCTCTCCAGGCTGAGCCTCCCCCAGCTCCCTCAGTGCTCCTGGTGCTCCAGACCCTTCCCTGGCTCAGTCCCTTCTCTGGACCTCCTCCAGCACCAAAATGTCCTTGAATTAAGGGGTCCAGACCTGGACACAGCACTCAAGCTGGGACCTCAGCAGTGCCCAATACAGGGTAAAAATCAGGACTCCTGGTCCTGCTGGCCACACAGGCCGGGTGCCGCTGGCATCCTTGGCCACCTGGGCTCATGTTCAGCTGCTGTTGGTCAGCACTCCCAGGACCTTTCTTGCTGGGCTGCTTTCCAGCCACTCATCTCAGTCTGTAGCTCTGCAGGGGTTATTGTGGCCAAAGTGCAGCACCCAGACCATGGCCTTGCTGACCCTCCTACAAACGACCCTGGTCCATTGATCCAGCCAGTCTGGGTCCTCAGCAGAGCCTCCTAGCCTCCAGTAGAACCACACTCCCACTCAACTGGGTGTCACCTGTGTATCTGTGGGCTCAGTCCCCTCATTCAGATCTTCAGCAAAGGTACTGAACAGGCCTGGGCCCAGCACTGATCCCTGCGGGACACCACTGGTGACCAGACCCCAATTGTCCCAGCTCTGGGCTGCAGTTCTCCAGGAGGTGCTGTAGGAAATGGTGTCAAAGGCTTTGCTGATGTCCAGATAGGCACATCCACAGCCTTTCCTTCATCCAGTGAGTCCCCTCGCCATGAAAGGAAATCCACTTGGTCAGGTAGGACCTGCTCCTCCTAAATCTGTGCTGGCTGGGTCTGATCCCTTGGTTTTCCTGGATGTGCTGTATGATGGCACTGGAGGTGACCTGCTCCATACCCTTCCCTGCCACCACTCACACTGAAAGGTCAGTAATTCCCTAGACCCTCCTTCCAACCCTTGTGGAGGGGTGTCACGTTGTCCCTTGTCATTGGGGCCCTCCCCAGTGAGCCAGGACTAGTGGTAAATAATGGACAGCAGCTTGGCAAGCTCTTCCTCCAGCTCCCTCCTCACCCTGGGATGGATCCCATCCCGGCCCGTGGACTCGTGAGTATCTCAGTGGCACAGCAGGGCAGTGACTGCCTCCTCCTGGATTTCTGGGGGTCCATTCTGCTCCCCATGCCTGTCTGCCAGCTCAGGGGGCCCTTTGTCCTGATCCAACCAGTCTTAGTGTTGAAGACTGAGGCAAAGAAGGGGTTAAGTACCTCAGCCTTTTCCTAGTCTTTGGTGATGGACACTTCAACAAAGAATGAAGGTTTTACTTGGCCCTCCTTTTGTTAATAAAGTATTTATAAAAATATTACCCGTTACAGAGGTGGGCAGATTAAGTTCTAACTGAGCTTTCACCTCTCTAATTTTCTTCTTTCTGCATGACCCAAGGACATCTTTAAATGCTTCCTGAGTTGCCTGCCCCTTTTCCCAAAAATTATATATACTCTTTTTCCCCTGAATTCCTGTGCAAGCTCCCTGCTTAGCACAAGCTCGTCCTCCAGCACATACAGCTGTAGTACAGATTTTTCATCTTACCTCTTCTTCAAGGGCATCTGCCTTCTCCCAGATAAACCGGCCAATTTTCCTTCTGATTTCTGACAAGAACAACAAAACTAGTGACTGTGAGAGCACCAAAAACAGGGCTGTGGCAGTTGCTGCTGGTGTGATGCCCTGCAGGTCCCTCTGGGGACAAACCCAAAGGCAAAGTCCTGCCCTTGGGTCAGGGCAATCCCAAGCACAAATTCTGTGTGGGCAGGGATGGATTGAAAGCAGCCCTGAGGAGAACTGGGGCGTGTTGGTGCATGAGAAGCTCATGGGTATGACCCAGCCATGTGTACTGGGCTCGTCTCTGGTGTCCCCAAGAGCAGCAGGACGTGGAGCTGCTGGAGAGAGCCCAGAGGAGCCCATGGAGCTGCTCTGAGGGTGGAGCCAGGCTGGAGAGCTGGGGGTGCTCACCTGGAGAGGAGAAGGCTCAGGGAGAGCTCAGAGCCCTGCCAGGGCCTGAAGGGGCTCCAGGAGAGCTGGAGAGGGACTGGGGACAAGGGATGGAGGGACAGGACAAGGGGGAAAGGCTTCCCATTGCCAGGGGGCAGGGTTAGATGGGATACTGGGAAGAAATTCTTCCCTGTGAGGGTGGTGAGGGCCTGGCAGATGTTTCCCAGAGCAGCTGTGGCCGCCCCATCCCTGGGAATGTTCAAGGTCAAGCCATTCTGTGATAACAGATGGATCATACTCTGCCCTGTGGGAGGAAGAGCCACTCCCAAGTGAAGGAAAAGTCCCTCCCACAGACAAGTAAGTGTCAGTACCAAGGCTGTACTTGTGGGGGATTTCCACGGGAAAATATCCCCAGATGACTTTTTTTTGCCTGACCTTCATGCAGGCAGGCAGGGGGCAGGACGAAGTGGCCCAGAACCACCGAGGGCCTCTCTCCAGCTCGGGTGCTCGCACACACTGAGAGGTAGGAGGAGTGAAAGACCGTGGCTCTGCCCTCCAGGTAACTGAGACTCTCGTGTATGCTGGAAGAGAAAGAGAGCTGCTTTCCAAAGGAGAACCTGGAAGCAAACCAAAACGTTTAGACGGGTGTTGTCATGAAACCTGCTCTGGTTTTTTTTGCCAAAAACACCTAATTTTCTGTGATTTTCTACCTGTGAGACTCTACCAGTCCTGTTACAGTCCCACCTCCCAGGGGCAGCCTGGAGGAGGGACAAGGATAAATATGTTTTTAGGGATTACACAGTCCCACTCTGCTCTTGAGGTGAAACTACTTTGGGGAGGGCAAAGACAGGATTTTTCTACAATTATCCTTCACAACACTGTTTCCTGTTCACACAGCTGAGCAAGGAGATGGAGACTGCTCCATCCCTCACTGTCCTCCTTAGAGAGGAATTAAATCTTGTTTGCTGGGTTTAAGGATGTGTATAATGATTACATTTTTTCGCAATGATCTATCTAACAATATACATTGAAATATATGTATATATTCAATGTATATTGAGTATATATAAAAAAAATTATAATTAGTAATAGTGTATATATATGCTTTTATATTGTATATCTACTATATGTATACTCTAGTATACTCTGTATATAGTATAGTATATGTAGTGTGTGTGTATATATATAGTGTGTATATATATATATGTATACACACACACTATATATATATATATACTATATGTATATAAAAAATTATCCAGAATTCCCCCTGGAGGAGCAGGCTGGTCTGGCAGCACATTGTTGCAGAAGAAAAGTTGTTACGTATATATATAGTATATATATATATACACACGCACACTATATATATACTATATGTATATAAAAAATTATCCAGAATTCCCCCTGGAGGAGCAGGCTGGTCTGGCAGCACATTGTTGCAGAAGAAAAGTTGTTACTCTGTTTTTACTGGAATTCCCCTCGCTTAGCTGGAGCAGGTGGCTGAAAGATTCCAAAATTCAAAGCCAGTTTTAAGCACTGGTGTGTTAAAAACAAACTACTTAGTCCAGCCTAGCAAAGCCTAAAAGAAGCATGGCAGCTTCCTTTCCCATATATATTTACGTGACTAAATAATGAATAAATACAAGTATTCACTGATATTGAGAAAGTGAGGAAGGTCATTAAGACTTTCCTTTTATATCTACAAATGTGCCATAGCTCTCTATTTTTTTTTAATTAAGCATTTCAGTCCTTTTCCGTCCATTTTTACCCCAGTGCTTCCTTTTAGCATTAATTCACACTGGCGTTTTAGCAAAAGGTTCCTTCCTTGGCAATTGTATCAGCTCTGTTTTAGCTGCTGATTTTCCAGCAGATAATTCACACTCAGCAAGAAACCAGCAGAATTAATTTAATTTATATCACAGTTAAGCCCATCTCAACACATGGATGTTTTTTCTCTATTCCGTCTCTCTATAGCTTAGTGTGGGTGTGAGTTTTCCTGCGCCCAGTGGGCAATAAGATCCTGGCAGATCCATACCGTGACTTTAAAAACACACCCTTGACTTTCACAGGATGTCAGCAACCATGAAATACTTTTCGCTGAGTACTTTAAGGCCTCCTGTGCCCACCTGCGGGTGTCGGGGTGGGCAGCATCGCTGCTGAAGAGGTACTCGGCATCCAGCCAGTGGGCGAGCGTCCCTCCGCCGTCTGCTGCGGGGCACAGGGAGCGAGGTCAGGGCGGGCACCCGGGGGTCCCACCTGGGGCTGACCTGGGTGGGCACAGCTGCTTGTGGGGCCGCAGAGATGGGCTCTGAAGCGGAATGTGACAGCTCCCCGTGGCTGTGGGACTCCCATTGCTCCCCCGAGGGCTGTTCAGGGCTTTTCTCCAGTGTGGGGGCACCGCGGGCTGGCCCAACTCGTGCTCTGCCCTGTTGTGTGGGTCTCAGTCCCACGAAGGGGTGGCAGGGCCGTGTCCCCGCTGCTGTGCCCTGCTGAGCACCGATGGGGCTCTGCTCCCCTCCTAACTCCCCCTGAGCGGTGACAGGGCTCTGCCCCTGCCAAACCCCCGGCGGATTCCTGCCAGCTCCGTGCCCCGGGGCTCCCCTGGACTTCGCTGTTGTCTGCCCCCTCACCCCACAGCCCCCGCGGGCCCGGGCTGACGCTCTGCGAGAACCAAGCACGCTGTCCGCGGAACATCGCGGCGGGAGCCGCCCTGAGGGGAACGGCCCTGAGGGGCTGGGGGAAGACGGGAACCGCCCTGAGGGGCTGCAAGGAGGCAGGAACCGCCCTGAGGGGAACGGCCCTGAAGGGCTGCAAGGAGGCAGGAACAGCCCTGAGGGGAACGGCCCTGAGGGGCTGCAAGGAGGCAGGAACAGCCCTGAGGGGCTGGGGCAAGGCGGGAACCGCCCTGAGGGGAGATGATGGCGGGAACGGCCCTGAGGGGAGCGGCCGTGAGGGGAAGCGGTGCTGGGAAAACCCGGCGAGACAGGGAACAGCTGGAGCGGCGTCATGGAGATTTAAGCTGATATTAGGGAAAGGTTCTTCCCCCCAGGGTGGCCGGGCACTGGAACAGCTCCCCAGGGCAGCCCCAAGGCTGGCAGAGCTCAAAGGGCACTTGGACAACACTCTGAGGCACAGGGTGGGGTTCTGGGGTGTCCCGTGCAGAGTTAGGAGTTAGACTCGGTCCTTGTTCTCCTAGAAGCTTTTCTCAGAAAAAACCTTGCATTTTGCTGATTCTGGAAACTGCTTGCATAAAAATTGTTTTTATTTCATGCAGCACAAATGAGGTTTGTTTCATGCTTGAAGCTTTCCAAGATATCCCTCAGGATAACCCATCCCCTGGGAACTGTGGCCAGCAACAGCGGCAGCACAGCAACATTTCGAGTACCTCAGAACCCCAGGGATGCTGGATAAAACAGAGAAGGGATTTCTGGACATGGTTCTGAAATCCAGCAGTTAAAGGAAATCACCCTCTGGTGTGGTCATGTGTTGTTCTCCCACACACAGGGGATTTTTGAGTAAACCATCAAAATGTTTCTTAAGGAGGAACAGAAAAATTCCACAGATGCAATAAGGGCAGGCTTCCCCAGTGTGGGAAGATGATGATGTGGCCTTTGGGGGCAGGGTCACTTCACATTGCCCCCACTGAATCTTCAGTTTCTGCAGTTGTCCACTCCTGTCCTAATTAGGGTGAAGCACTCTTGGTGGAGTGGTTACCCAGCAATTATTCTGGTGCTCTTGACGATAGGATGAGGTGGTGGAAAGCACTTTGGTGGCCCTTCATGATCCAGGGGAGGAGGCCATGACATGTTCCACAGCTCCTTGTGCTGCTCCACTGGGGTGTCTGAGAGAGGAGCTGAAACCTTTTCCCCTGTCCCAGGCCACCTCCTCTCACAGGGAGCACTGCTGGTGCTGCCTGGTTACCAGAGTGCATCTGGTGCTGCAGGTGAGCTGTGTCCTGCTGCCCTGTGCTGAGAGATGAGCACTGTGCACAACCACCCAGCCATGGCAGCCCTGCCTGTCCTGCCTTGAACACGCTCTGATGAACCCAAAGGGATCCCCATCATGGAGTCCTGCCCCTCAGCAACCTACCATGTGGGTGCTGGACCTGCAACAGCCTGGATTTTCCAAATCCCTAACAAAAAAAAAAAGTGGTTATAATGAAAATAACTAGGGAACAAGACAATATCCATCAAAAATCCCAAGTGTAAGTTCTGTGACACTATCACAGCCAATCTTAATATACCCAAGAAGAGACATGGGATGCCAGGAACCCTTAATCCCATACTAGTGGTCCTGGTTAAATCCATTTGGATACAATATTCCTCAAGCAATCACTCTGATTTCTTCATAAAATAAAAATGAGCTGATAGCAGCAGCACTGGTTTTGGGTAGTGTGAATCCCCCACAGTGTAACAGAGGACTGGCCCCAACTGCACTTCTCCCTGGGCTCAGGCACAGAGAAAACCAGAACTGAAATTCACCAACACACACATCAGCTTCCCCCAGGCTCAGCTTTACACCACACACTCCAAAATGCATCTGCCAGAGCTCTCCCCATTGGAGTGAGCACCATTCCCTGCCATCACTCCTCCTGTGTCCCCAAGGTTCTTTATCCCTTTGTTCCTTCCCTTCAGACCCATGCAGGAGCCTCCAGCCAGGCAGATACCACATCAGCAAAAAAAAATAAAAATCTTTCATTCTCTTTTTATTGATGGAAAAATGTTCTTGCATCTTCTCAGTGGGATATAAAAAGCTCAAGTGCCCATCATGCTCTGTGTCCCCAAGGTTCTTTATCCCTTTTTAAACCTTGTTCCTTCCCTTCAGACCCATGAAGGAGCCTCCAGCCAGGCAGATACCACATCAGCAAAAAAAAATAAAAATCTTTCATTCTCTTTTTATTGATGGAAAAATGTTCTTGCATCTTCTCAGTGGGATATAAAAAGCTCAAGTGCCCATCATGCCACCAAGGCTACATACCCACCCACAACCCAGTGGCCATCAGAGCCTGTGAAATCAACTTGTCAAATGAAGGAACATTTTAAGGACCAGCAGTTTACTATGCAAAACCTGCAAATTTTTGAGCAGTGAAGAGTTACCATTGTTTTTTAAGCAGTAATGCGGGCATTTTTAGCTACATGTTCAAAAAGCCTGGAGGGCTTCCTTGATGCTGTGGTTAAGTGAGATTTTTAACAAGGCTTATTAGCAAATTTCTGCAAGAAAGTTGATCAGTCTTGTGGCTGTGATGAAGAACAGACAGAAGCTTGAGGACGCTGACTTGTAAGAAGAATGTCTCAAATCTGCATGGAGAGAGTAGATTGACATCAGTCACTCTAGTGGCACCTTCAACTGCAATCATTTTAGGACTAAAAACCAGTTTCCTCAGAGCAGTCTTGACTGCAGCATCCCTGCAGAACTATCTTCAGTGATTTAGGTAAATCCCCTCAGAGATTTAGGTAAAAATCCTGCAGAAACTGCTTCTCTGTCCCCTCCTCGGTGGAGTTCAGAGTTCAGCAAGTCAAGAGGACCCTTGTTCTCCACCCCAGCGAGGAGTTTGTCCTGCTCTCCACTCTTTCCATGCCAGCTCAGTAAATCCTCATCCCCAGACCACAGTGAAGTCACCCACGTCCCACCTGCAGCCAGCCATGGCATCCCTCACCAATGTCCCACCAACCACAGCCATGGTGCAGCACATTCCAGACCCTGCCCTGGGGCCAGGCTCACACCCCACTGCCCAAAGGTGAGCGACAAACCAGAGGAGTGACTGTATACAACTTTTTATAGCTCTGCAGGAACTGGGGCATTTCATATGAAGGTCCTGTCAAGGCTTGTCCCAGGAACAGTTAATCATTATCCAGCCTCTAACAGGGCACATAATTTAGCTGTTTCAACCAGGATTACATCAGCTCAGCCACATATTCAGTTTCTTTTCCCTACCAAGTGTTAAACTAGAATTTCCCCATCGCTACACCCAGATCAGTTACACGCAGATAGTTTGAAGAACTTGGAGCCCTCAGACTGAGACGCCGGTGAATAAACCCAAAAGTGTTTCTGGTTTGTGCCTCATGAATCCCACAGGAGGCCGGCCTGTGCAGGGTTCCCCAGCCTGCCCCCACTGTGAGGCACAGGGATCTCGGGTGCAGTGACTTCCTGCTCCTCCCGTGACAGGAAACAGCGCTTCAGCCCTGAGGGAGCTTTAGGGGACCTGCGACAACTCTCTGCGGTATCTCGCTGACACAGCAAGGAAGATTTTCTCCAAAGTTATCCTTTTTTTGGAGCACAGGACTCTTGTAGGCAGGGGATGGCCAAAAACAGAGCAATATAGTGGGCAGAAAGGGCATGGGAAGAGTGTTTTTGTGTCCCAAATAGGATCTACTTTTTGGCTGTGGTTGCTCCTGTTCCTCAGCTTTTCAAACCCCCCCCTCCCTACATAAATGGGTCTGTATTTCCCTTATCAGCACAGCACACAGCACAGGAACAACTCACCATGGATTATCCCAGACGCAGCTCAGAAGTCTGGTTCTGCGGGAAAGAAGCACGGAGCATTAGACCTGGGGGCTAATGGCACCTACTGTCCCCTGTCCCCACAAGGATCCCCCCAGAAACAGCCCCAGCATGGCAACCAGTTGCCTTCAGCTGTAGCCGAGGCTAGGCCAACACCACCAGCCCCAACCACTGCCATGTCTCCTTTATACTGTCCTTCTTTACACTCACACAATATAAAGCAAAAACTCACTGCATAACCCATCACCTTCTAGTTAAGTTTACCAAGGCAGAGATCGGTGACACAGCATCACCAAACCCCTATGGATTAATGCCAGTGTGTGTTCCCCCTGGATCCTTCACAGGTACATGTAACAGCCTTTTCAGCTAAAACCAAGTTAGCTTTCTATGTCTAACACCTTCAAACCCCACTCCTGCTTCCCAGGAAAAGGAACAGAGACAGCACGGATATAAAGCAAGGAGCTCCAGCATGCAGGAGGGAAGGCACAACTTACCCCAGATGTAATCGCGTGGCTCCGGCATGGTGGAATGCATCACCCTGCAAGAGAAGCTGTCACCCCTTGTGGGGACGAAGGGCACATAGACCAGGCGCTGGAACTGCCACTTCTCGTTGAAGGACAAGTCCCCGTACTTGACGCCGGGAATGGGCTCCCCGTTCTTCAGGAGTGTGATGTCAATCTTGGGCGGGTGAAAGCCAGTGACAAAGCAGTGGAGGGTGTTCTCCTTTCCCTCCTCGGCGCGTGAACGGGCGTAGACTTCGACCTTCGGCGCCTCTGGAGAGAGGGGCGAGGGCTCGTGAGAAGCGGGGCTGCCGTGGGCATCGCCTCGATGCCAACACTCGCCCGCCCACCCGGGCACAGTGAGCGGACCCGCCGGGACCCCGCAGCCCCTCACCCCCGCCGGGACCCTTCGCGCCGCCCCAGGCACTCACCAGCGGCCGCCCCCAGGCCGAGCAGCGCCAGCAGCGCAAGCACACCGAGCGCCAGGGCCCCCCGCGCCATCGCCGCTCGCCGCTGCCTCGCCGTTTCCCGGAATGTCCCACCCCTGCCCGCACTCCGCCTTTTATAGCCTCCGGAACCCGCGGCCAATCGTGGCGCGGAGCGGCCTCTACGTCATCAGTTTCCAGGTAGAACGGGAGCTCTGGGGTTGTGCGGGCCAGCTTGGAAGCGCTTTCGCTTTCAGTTCCGCGCTGGGCGGGGGAGAGCCCGGGCAGAGACCCCGGGGCGTGGGCAGCAGCCCCGGACGGGACCCGGGTGGGCAACGGCACCTGGGCTGGACCAGCCCCCGTGTGGCCACAGGGCAGCGCCCGTCCCCCGTGCTGGGCACTGCTGAGGCCACACCCCAAATCCTGGGGTCAGTTCTGCGCCTTTCGCTCCAAACAGGACATGGAGGGGCTGGAGCGTGTCCCGGGAAGGGAACAGAGCTGGGGAAGGAGCTGCAGCACCAGGAGCAGCTGGGAAAGGGGCTCAGCCTGGAGAAAAGGAGGCTCGGGGGGACCTTCTTTCTACAACTCCCTGACAGAAGGGGCCAGCCAGGTGGGGTCGGGCTCTGCTTCCAGGGAACAGAGGAGAGGACAAGAGGAAACAGCTTCAAGTAGCACCAGGGAAGGTTTAGGTTGGATCTTAGAGAAAAGTTATTCTCTGAAAGGACTGTCCAGCCTTGCCACAGGCTGCCAGGGCAGTGGCAGAGTCCTCGTCCCTAGAGGGATTTAAAAGCCCTGTGGATGTGGCACCTGGGGTTATGGGTTAGTGGTGACTTTGGCAGTGCTGGAGGAATGATTTGACTTGATGGTCACAGAGAGCTTTTCCAACTTAAATGGGGGTAAATCTCTTGTAGAAGATTTCGCATCCAGGGCCGGTATTCCACCAACAGGCTATGGTGGAGCAAGCCATCCACCTTCCCTTTTAAGCTCTTTCAAAACCTAGGCTAGGAATGCCACTGAGTGTCCCAGTGGTGCTGCTTGGAAGGAAAATAAAGGGAAAAGAAAGTCAAGTCACTGCTAGTGGGGAGAAAACAGCAGCATGGTGTAAGCACCAAAACACTAAGTCCCTTTAGGACCTCTTAATGTACCTCATTAAAACACAAATTAAATTAATAAAGCAATGTGTGGTGAACACCGCAAAGGCAGCAGGTAAATCAGGAGAGGCCAAGCAAAGGAAAATCTTGAAAACACTTGTTATCAGTTCCCTCTGGCCCAGCTCCTGCTGGGTTTGCCAGCTACTCAGTGGGCAGTGCCAGCCAGGCAGCTGAAAACACTCTGTGTTTTTCTCAGTGTGGGATAAACAGCTGCAGCTGTGGCCAGAGCCTTATCAGGGATCTCAGGGCTCGGGCAGAAATAACCTCTGAGCGCTGCATTGGTGGCAGAGCTGCTGTTAGGGTCACCACATCAGGAGTCACCAGTCCTGCTGTCCCGGGGGAATCTGGCTCTGCCCAAGTGGACACTCACCTCGGGGAGAGAGAGGATGGCAGGACAGGGATCCTTTCCATGGGCCCTTTGGGGTGTGAATCCCTGGCAATGACTCTGCTGTAACCCACGCCACCTGTCAGAATCTCCCAGTAAACAGAAGCACAGCTCTTCCACGTGATGTTTATTAAAAGCCACAAGGATTTGGTTACAGTAGCCAAATCTTCCAGAAACATCCATCTAGGGATGTTTCTGCTTTTATTAGCAGAATATTGGGAGAATTATTTGGGAGTGGGTGACATGACCAAGGCGCTCCTGGTATTCAGGGGGATAGTTCAGGGGGATAATTCAGGGGGATAATTCAGGAGGATAAGGGCAACCCGCTATGCTTTGTGGGATGCAGAAGTTTACCGTGTTAGTGTTGACACCTGTGCTCAGTGTTACCTACCAGACTGTTCAATCCCGACAGACCGCATCCCACCAGTGTTCCATGACTCCTCGGAGGGGTGTCAGCTCCGAGAGCAGCGGGGGAAGCCGGGCTGGGCTGTGGGGCTCTCCGAGAGCCGCGGGGGCGGTCACGGAGCCCCCCGCTCCCCAGCCCCAGGGGCCCCAGTGCGCAGGCGCGGGGCGCCGCTGGGAGCCGCCATGCTGTACGGCAGGCGCATGCCGGGGCGGCGGGGGCGGCCCATAAAAGGGGCGGCGGGGGCACCGCGGCCCCGCAGAGGGACCAGGACGGGCGGGCGGAGGGTGGGTGAGCGGGAGGAGGCGGCGGCACCACCACCGCGGCATGGCAGAAGGCGGCGAGCGCGTTGTGAGTGCCTGCCCCGCTCCGCTCCCCGCTGCCGCCTCCTGGCGTCCCGCTCCCTCTGCGGTGCTCGTTCTCCGGGGCAGACGCTGCCCTGGAGGTGCTGGTGGGATGCTCTTCCCTGCCTTGTGCTCGCCCGTGCCCGCGTAGCGGGTGTTCGCTCTGAAGCCTAAAGGTGTCTCAGCCCAGCCGCGCTGCTGCCGGCAGAGCTGCGCCTCCTGTCCTCGCTGCCTCCTGCTTTTCCCTTTTCCAGCTGTGAGCCCCGTGGGTTGCCTGGCGCCACCAGTAGAGTGTGAGGGGGAGGTTGGGTGCCCCTCCTCACTTTGGGAGTATGCTAGGGTTACCTCTCCCTTAGCGAGGAATCTGCTGCTTGCAACTCTAGATTATCGAGGATTTTCTGCTGGTGGAAGATGCACTTCTG